CAACAGACAAACATATAGTTGCAGTCTTAATACAAGATAACATTCAAGTCCAAACATCTTAAACTCAAAAATGGATTAAAGATCTAGATCAACAGTGTAACGACCCGGCCGGTCGTTTTAAGAATAAACGCCCCGATCCCCTATTAACTGCTTTCTCCGTGTTTATTTCTGCTATTCTGAGTTGCCGGGAGGTTTCCTTTTGAGTTTCAGAGTGTATTGGGACACTTAGTCCCTAACTGAGAGTTTAAGCTTTAGAATTTGGACCGCAGACGGAGCAGTGTGAAGACGGCCTCGGAATGGAATTCTGCCGGTTCCGTTAGCTCCGTTGGGTTATTTCGGGCTGAGGGACGTGTTCGGATTGTGTTTTGGAGGTCCGTAGCTTAATCAGGCTTGAAATGCCGAAAGTTAAATTTTTGAAGTTTCCGGTTCGATAGTGAGATTTTGATCTAGCGGTCGGAATGGAATTCCGAAAGTTGGAGTAGGTCCGTTATGTCTTTTGGGACGTGTGTGCAAAATTTCAGATAATTCGGACGAGGTTTGATAGACTTTTTGATCGAAAGCGGAAATTTGAAGTTTTGGAAATCTTTAGGCTTGGATTGGTGATTGAATTGTGGTTTTAGCGTTGTTTGATGTGATTCGAGGGTTGGAATAAGTTCGTATCATGTTATAGGATTGGTTGGCTTGGTTGAGGTCCTGAGGGCCTCGGGTGAGTTTCGGGTGCTTAACGAAAGTGAATTGGACTTAGGGAAAAATCTGAAGGTTGTTGAAGTTTGCTGAGGTCTGTTCCGCAGAAGCGGCTGGGTGACCGCAGAAGCGGAATTGGCCAGGCTCTAGGAAATCCGCAGGTGCGATTGTTGGAGCGCACCTGCGGGACCGCAAGTGCGGTAGGTCGAGCGCAGGTGCGGTTTTTGTGTTTTAAGTGATTCTCCGCAGGTGCGCACCTGGGACCGCAGGTGCGGGGAAAGGGCCGCAGGTGCGAAAATCCTGGGCCAGAACCTACATAAAGGTTCAGTCGCGAAATTCCCCATTTCTTCACCAGTTTTATTCGGAGTTTTGAGCTTTTTGGAGGATTTTTAGAGAGGATTCAAGAGAGCTTCAAGGAGGTAAGGTTTTTGGAACCCAAACTCGTTATCATTGCATTTTCTACTGATTTAGGCAAGAATTACATGAGAAATAAGTGTTAAATTTGGGGGTTTAGGGCTTGTAATTGGAGACCTAAAACTAGGGATTTGAGACGTCATTTGTGGATGAATTTTGGTACTTTTGGTATGTATGAACTCGTGAGAGTGTGAGGATTCCAAATTTTTAAATTTACCCGATTCCGAGACGTGGTTCCGGGGGGCGTTTTGGTCATTTTTCCTAATTTTGCGTCTTAGCTTAGAATTAATTAGTTGAATTAGTTACTTGAAGTGTTATTTACAATATGCAATTACTTTGAATAGATTTGGGCCATTTGGAGTCGGATACTCGTGGCAATAACGTGGTATAGATTTGATTGAGCCGGTTCGAGGTAAGTGGCTTGTTTAACCTTGTGTGGGGGAACTCCCCCTAGGATTGGTACTGTGATATATGAAATGCCTTGTACGTGAGGTGACGAGTGCGTACTTGTGCTGATTGTCGCAAATCCAGTTTTTCATTAAGTATCTAAAATTTCGTATTTCTTCACTGTTTACATTACTTGAAATTTGAGTATACTGTTAGCTTAGGGAAGCATGCCTAAATGACTAAATTGCTTATTTGCTTAAACTGCCTTATCTGAACTCTGTGCAACATGTTAGGCTAGAATTACCTGCTTACCTTGATATGAAATTGGATTTAGTTGGTTATTTTTGCGTTGTTGTTGTGTGTTTACATTGGGACTATGGGCGGTTATCCGGTAGATCCCCCTTGTCTGTTTATTTGGGACTACGGATGTGGTATTCCGGTATATCTCCCTGCACAGTGATATGGACTACGGGAGAGCACCCGAGAGATCCACTGATTATTTACTTTTTGGGCTACAGGACGGGATCCTGGTAGACCCCCGGTTGTTATCTCTGCATTGGTTGTATACCTTCTGTGATTATTTGCCTTTTGTAGTTGTTGTTTCTCTTATTATCTGTATTTCTTTAATACTGCTCATCTTCCTTATATATTATTGTATATGACCGGTAGGGCCCTGACCTTCCTCGTCACTACTCGACCGAGGTTAGGCTTGGCACTTACTGGGTACCGATGTGGTGTGCTCGTGCCCTTTCCTGCACATGTTTTTGCGTGTGCAGATCCAGATACTTCCACTCAATCTTATCACCCTTAAGGCGAGGCGCTTTCTATATAGTCTCTGAGGTATATCTGCCGTGTCCGCAGACCGAGGAGTCCCTTTCCATTCTCTATAGTAGTATAGCCATTCTGTATCTTCGTTGTTGTTAGACATTTCTTGAGTTGGAGCATTTTATGTACTCTTAGCTTGTGATTCATGGGGTTCCGAATTTTGGGAGTGTTAGGCTGAAATTCTTGGATTGTTATATGCCGGACGGCATCTTAAACATTGTTATACATTGTTATCTCGGTTTTTATTAGTTTCTTTTCCGCAATTATTTCTTTACCGTATTTGTTAGTCTTACCTAGTCGTAGAGACTAGGTGCCGTCACGACTGTTCAGGGAGGGCGAATGGGTGGTCAGTTTTCAATCTCACCATTTAGATCTATGTCACAACCCAAAAATCCCACCTAAGGTACTCATGATGGCACATAGTCTCTAAATCTAGGTAAGCCTGACAATCATGAATTGTTGAATAGAAATAATGAACTAAGATAATAAAATAAATCAATAAAGCTCATAATAACTCCAGAATGGAACATCAACAACATGTTCCCAAAACCGGTGGAAATGAGTCATAAGCTCAGCAGAATGCTCTAAAATCTCTAATACAACACTGCTTGATAATAAGATAAACACTAATGAGAAAATAACAGAAGATGACTCTGAGGCCTGCAAACATCAAGCATGTATACCTTGAAGTCTCCGAAAATAGCTGAACGATCACTACGTCCGGCATAAGCAGATGTATCTGGATCTGCACAAAAATTGTGCAAAAGCGTAGCATGAGTACACGATAACGGTACCCAGTAAGTATCAAGTCTAACCTCGGTAGAGTAGTGACGAGGCCACGTCAAGACACATGCTAGGTCAAGATAAACTGAATAGAGAATTAAATATACCAAATGAGGAAATGAATGATAACAAAGCAGTACAATAATGTGGACTAATAATATAATTTAAGGCAAGAAAGGCAACGAGAAGTGAACACATGATGAGAACAACAAGATGATATACGGACAAATACAAGTAAGACAATGAAGAAAAACAACAAGAACTGTTCAACAAAAAAGCCTTTTTAGCATAGAAAGTACAAGAATCACAACCAAGGCACTACACCTCATAACCTCATTTTTCACAAATCACAATCTTTTCATATATCACCAAATGAGTCTTACATTTGGATATTTTAAAAAATAAATTTCCGAAATAGCTACACGCGCTTTAGCCCTCCTTATGTCATTGCGTGGCTTCAAGTAATTACCTTACTAGCAACACGAACATAAATCCCACCTTATGTCGCCACAGGCACATCAACCCCTATCCTTATACCACTGCATGCGCATCAATCACAACACAATATCAACTCGCATCACACTTGCACATATGCCACAGCTTGCCAAAATCAACAATACCAATATCACCACAACATATAGCTCACGGCTCATCTACAATGTGTACAAGAATCTGAATAATAATAAAATGAATGAGAATTACTCGACAAACAAAAGATATCTCAATAATCAACAATTCCAACCTCAATGGAATAATAGCTTTCATAACTTCAACTTCAATAACTCAAAATGGAAGTATTCCACGAAAAGAAAATTTCCAATTCAATTGTATAGCATAAGCTTAACAACGAAAAAGATCGTATGAAATAGTAACTATGGCTAAATGCATGAGGATAATTCAGCATGAAGAGACATCATGAAATAACAACTTCAAATAAGAATGACTCAACAAATAAGGAGGCACATGACCATAAAAGAGAACAACATCTCTTTGAAATTAAAGATATAACATGTGACAATAACTTCAAGTAAAGTATGTAAGAGAAATTTAACAAAGGAAGATATAACATGATACGACAAATTTCCGAATAAAATGAATGAAAGAGCCTAAGAGTCTAATCGGTCAAAATACTATATATAAGTCTATGTACCCACTCATCACCTCGTGTACGCATCGTTCACATGATTCAAATAACACAAATCAACCCAACTCCTACGGGGTAGTTCCCCCACACAAAGTTAGGCAAGATACTCACCTCAAATAAGCTAAATCAATACCCTAATAAGCCTTTCCCATGTAATTCCAAATCCGGATGGCTCGAATCTAGCCAAAAAACCCTTAATACCATAAATACAGCCATAGGAACACTACAACATTTTAGGCCAAAGGTGTGGCCTAAACTAGCAAACGGTGTGGCCTTTGGTCAAAGGCCACACTTTTCGACTTTTCGCAACGCTTTTCTGGGGGTGTCCAAAAGAAGCATAACCTTTGACCTAAGGGCACGCTCTTCAAATGTTGCCTTACAAGCCACGCTTAAAAGCGTGGCCTATTAGTTAACAAAAACAACACTTGTTACACCTCATATGGCAACGCTTTTATACCATGCCGCTACGCATAAAAAGTGTGGCCTTTGTTACCTTTTAGGCCACACTTGTTAATCGTGGCTTCTAAAGAACCCCTAGAAAACGTGGTCTTTGGTAGACATACAGACATATAGCCACACTTTTAAAGCGTTGCAATTTTGGCTAGGCTATACAATTTTTTTTTAAAAAAAATTACATTTTACATATAGCATGTAATTACAATTATTTCAAGCATATGCATTACTATCGTATATTTTGATGATTTAAAGAACTAAATTAGCTAATAAATACTAAATATAATAATTCAAATGAATACACATACTTATAAAATAGTGTGTCAAAATGCTCATTAACAATAAACTTTTCAAAAGTGAGTATATTCATATAGTATCATGAATATTAGACATCTTAATTATCCAAAAATTATTCGCATTCACATTAAGATCAACTTGACCTTCGGACACCATTTCCAATTGCATCACCCGCTTTCTCCTACACATAAAAAGAAATTAATAATTAGATAGAAACTAAACTTTAATCGTTCGTCTAAAAGAACAAAGACTAGGATAGCATATATTAGCACCATGTTTTGCATATTTTTCAGTCATATATAAATAAAAATTGACTAATGAGTACAATAAACAAAATATAGTAGTCCCATTTCACTCACCTAAATACTCACCCCGTGTTTGCATAATTACGAAAGATAGTTTCGTCCCGTACAACATACTTCAACACTACTGGAGGGTGCTCACTAGTGTGCCGAAATGCAAAAAACGCAGAAATACTATGCAGAAACGTAAAAACACTGCAGAAATGCTAAAACACTGAAGAAATACAGAACTGCTGTGCGAAAATGCAGAAACTCAAGAAATGCAGCACAGAAATGCAGAAATATTGTGCAGAAAATGCTGAAACGTTGTGCAGAAACGCAAAAATTGCCGAAACTCTTTGCGAAAATGCAGAACACTGTGCAGAAATCCAAAAATAATGTGCAGAAATGCAGAAATGCAGAAAACACAGAAAAACTATGTAGAAACGCAGAAATCGCCTAAATGATGTGCAGGAATGCTGAAACGCTGTGCAGAATGCTGGAACGCTGTGCAGAAATGCTGAAAATGCTGAAAATGCAGAAAAACTGTGCAGAGTCGCAGAAAAACTGTGTAGATTTTTCTGCTTTCTGCACAGTATTCTGCACATCAATGTTAAAGATACATTTTCAGTAAGGGGATAGGTTGCGAGAGCAGCAGTCGACCTTGACATCAATGATTTCAGTAAAAAGTAAACGAGTTTGGTACCAGAGAATAAGATAGGACTGTTATTTTTTCTGATATCCTGTTATTTTTGAGGTGCACACGAGTTGGTCTAGACGTACAAAGAAAGACGTTAAAGATACATTTTCAGATAATTAAGCATCTAGTTGTGTATTAGCTTCTGAAACCATATAAAGATTTAGTACATCTTTATAACTACTGAAAGGCAAACTTTATATGCCAAACCACTTTTGGTCCCACGGACAATCTCATTCAATTTTTTTGAGGTTATAAATGGAATTAAGTCATTTACTCATCAACAATCAAAATCAGCTTCATGATTCAAAAATTTGCAACAAGTATGCATATCTGCATCAATCTACAAACGGACGAGCACAACAGAGACATCAAATACATATTCTAATTTTCAGCATCGCGACATATTATTATGATATTTTATGTAATTCTACATTACCATATTAAGAGTTTCTATTGGGAGTTAATATACTAGAAACATGACAACTATAAAGCTTTGATTGTAGAGTCGGAAGGGCCAAACAGAATGAAGGCGACAAGCCAACGAGACTATGGTCTTGCAAGTAAGAAAAGGCTTACCAATCAGAAGCTAGATTACTGTTGCTGCCAATTGGACAGTTCAATTATTGTTGACTTCACCTGTGGCCAAGAAATAACAAATAAGCATGTACTGAGGAAAGAAACGATGACAATGACCTGAACAACCAAGACAAAATGCAGTTAATATTCCATATATTAAGAAGCATTACACATGCACCAGGGCCATTGATAACTGAGAAGATTTAATTGGAAAACTCGGTTGATTATAGTGTAGAGAATCTCAATTTGTCAAGCATAAAAAAGAGCAGTCCGGTGTACTAAGCTCTCACTATGGGCGGGAAGGGCCGAACCACAAGGGTCTATCATCAATTTTAAATCACATTTTAAGAACACTTTTTATTCTTTTTAAAGTACAACAGTAGCACTAGAGCTCTCATAATTGATCTCATTTATTGATTTTCACAATTCATTTATGCCCCTGATTCTTGTCTCATGATAATTTCTTTATTTTTCTCTTTTTTCTTTTTTGGGAAATTTTCTAAATTCACAAGTATCATCACGACATCGAAATATCAGATAAATTCAGAATCTAGACTATGCTAATACTCTATGTTGAAGTTTAAATACTAGGTATTCAGGTGGATAAATTTAGTAAAAGTTGAACAAATTGTAAAAGATATTTTCAAAGGTCAAGGATTATTTGTTGCCACATACGCGTTTTGGTGACCTATCTGTTTGCTTAGACATAGGTAAAAGTTTTAAAGATAAATAACATAAACTTGTCATAACTAATCTGGGCACCAGATGCAATAACCATATTTATAGAGAAGAAAGAACAAGACTACAAAGTTTGGCCAAAGTTTTTGGTCAGAAGTTTTTTTAACAATGAATGGAAAGAAGTTATTAAACTGAAAGCAAAAAATTTCAGAGAAAACTTACAAGTTTTTAGCAGTTGTAACCCTATGCAAACGAACTTCCCAATTGAAACCTAAATAAGGAGGGTTTTGACTTTTGAGAAGAGCAACTAGAAGAAATTAAGCATCTCCATCAGCAATTTTCACAAAATCTACCTAATCTGCTTAACTAGATGACGAGAACCTTATTTTAGGGAAGAAGAAGTACGGGAATAATTTGGATAAACTTAACTTAGTGGGATATTTTTTGGCATAGTTATTTTTTGGGGGCAGAAAAGTTTTAGGGAGGGAAAGGATTTAGGGGAAAAGTTTCAGCGGGATTAGGGAATTATTAGCAACCACCCCGGCAAGTCACATAACCATAAATGATAAATAGGGGAATGGATCTATAACACTCAAAATGACCAGCTAGGTTGTTACAATCCTATAGGCATGACATCTAACATAATGTATGTTTAACAATATTCAATTGTGCTATCAAGTTATCAGGAAAAGCAGTACTCAAATTGGTGGGAAAAAGCTTTTCTAAAGAGTGTCTTTGAACATCACATGATCATGACAAGATCAAGAATATTTATGCAGAACCAACTAAAGCAAAACAAGTAGATGACTGCAAGACATTATTTCTTGTAAGCAAGCAGAATTAATGGGGTACCCAAGGTCAAGGTTTGTCATGTAGTTCCATCTTTATTTACGCTATCATTATAAACACACATAGACTATTCTTTTTCATATGGACAAAATCAACATTATACCAAACAAAATTGTTAGCTAGAGTTCCTTGGTTATCATATAGATTAGCATAATGAGATAGGTACAACTATTAGATATGGTCCTTTAAATAAACAGGAGGTTATAAGCAAGTTAACATAATGATTTAGGCATGAAGTTCAGCTAATGGCATGTACAAGTTTATGAACATCACTTGATTAGCAGAAACATCATGACAAGTATGGGCATACGTATAGAAATCAGTAGGTGTCACTCAATCAATGCAATAGTATAGGTTACACATAGCTATTATTACAAAATTCACACAGTCGTGAGCAGTTAATAGACTATACATAAAGACAACAATAAGAAGTTGTTTCAATTAATTAAGCATGACAACATAATTTAACTACAACATAGGGGTAAACATAATATTCAGGAAAATGCCATTAACTTAAAACAAGAGTAACATTAAGAACAGAACACAATAAGAAAGTTGCACGTTTACTGGTGAACACCATGAAGAGAAGAATAGCCTGTAATTAATGGAAAAGCATAAAAAAAGAACCACGTGATAACAAATGAATAACCAAAGAATAAAGAGGGGGTCAGTGTTTACTAAACTTCTCTAAAGAACCAAACCAGGCAGAGGCGATCAGTAGACATTTAAGAGCTCAATCTCACAATCAACTCGCAGTGATCGAACTCAGAAAGAAGTGAAAGAAGGAAAAAATAAGAGAAAGAATCCGAAGTATTTAATAGACAATGTTTAATTAGTTTTTGGAAGTTCGTCTTCCGTTAATGTGTCTTTGTGTGTTTGGTGAGGGCATTAAAGGCTTTATTTATAGTAGCATTGAAGCCTTAGGGTTTCGTTCGAATTCAAAGAGATAGTGAGAAACTACAAGCGAACACTGATGATAGCAAAGGGGTGAAAGCATAAGGAAAACAGAGGGTAATAGATTGGATTTAACCTTTATGGAAAATCGATCATTGGAGACCAAGGACCATCAGTTAAAGCTAAGGTCCAAAGGTCATTGTGTTTGACCTCAGGACCAAATACCATTATGATGTATTTGAGATCCTCATTAATCTTCATACGCATGTGGTGATTTGAATGAAAAATGGGCAAAGTGATGAATTTTGAACACTTTCACTATTTGGTGTAGGTTTTTGGGGATTTGGGATTCAAATTGAGGTGAGAAAAGGGAAAACAACGGCAAGATTCACGATGGAAGAGACGGGATGGATCAGGTGACCTTGAACGAATTTGTACAAGGTTCAATGATTGATGGGGGGTCAGTGAGATGACAGAAAATGGAGAGGAAAGGGAAAGAGAGACGGCCGGTCCTGGGTTAAATTATTAGGGTTTGGGGCTGGTCTCCAAGTTAAAATTAGAGACAGGAGGGGTGCCATTGGATCATTTTGATCAAAGAGAAAATTGAGATTCATTGTGGACGCTTGATGGCTTTAAGCAACAGTCTAGATCATTTGCGTTAGTCATGAGAGTGTTTAGGGAGAGATGACGTGGCATCTGGCGATTAGTTGAAAGTGGATGGCATGGATTACTAGCCAATCTGATGGTGGCTGATGGCATGGATTACTTGCCAACCTGATGGTGGCAGATGGCATGGATTACTTGCCAATTTGATGAGTGTGTAGTGGAAGCTACTGATTCCTCTGATATTCTTTCCACTTCAGTGGAGCCTTCCACCAGTGCCAAAGACACTGTTCCTGAGCCACCATCAGCCCTTGCTCCATTGCCTACACCAGCTCTGAGGTCGGTGACTTTGCCTACGAGCCCACTATCTGCTTTAGGGGTTTCTCAGACGCTAGTGTCTCAACAACTGGATGTAGACAGCTACATCAAAGTTGTCCGAGATATCTTGTATAGTTGCAGGGCATACCTCTACACAACTAGACCATTCTAACATTGACATGAAGCTCACCAAGGTCTAGGACAACCAAAAGGTGATTATAGACACACATGTGCAACATGGTGCAGTGATTAAGTGGTTGACCAAACAGGTGAAGAAGATGAGAAAGACACAAACGAGCAAAAAGTCAGTTGACTCACTCCGAGCTGAGGTGACTATGATAGCTGAGGCCGACAACTTTCTGTTTGACATGATGATTGAACCACCCACCCTCACCCAGCTCAAACTTCTCATGAGGCCCCTACTGCTCAGCACGAGGAGCGTTGCCTTCCATCCATCACTACTTCTGTGGTACGCGATATGTTTACCTCTCAGGCAGCTCCCATAGAGGATGATGACACCATTCAGTTAGTTGATCCGGTTCGAACTGATGATGCTGGTAATACCATGATGACTGAAGAAGCTTAGGGAGTTTCTTCACCCCTCTCTGCTCTTTGATCTTGTTTTTCTAAACATTGAGGATAATGCTTACTTTTATTTTGGGGGGGGGGGGGGTGTGGATGATAAGTGTAGATTTTAACCGCTTATTAGTACCTTATTGCTTTAATTCTAGTCCGAAAGTAGTGATTTTTATTTCCAAATATAATAAAATTGTGTGAATTGCTGGCATGTTGGAGGAATGTAGTTTAATGACGAAGTCTAACTCAAAAAGGAGTATTCCACCTCAACAAGGCTAAAAAAAGGGAAATTCAAAGAAGAAGTGCGATCTGCAATTAATTCTGCGATCGCGGATGAATATGAGGTCCACAAAGAGCGCTGCTGCAGATGAACACTTGAAGCCTCAGAGGAGTTTAGCAAAATATCACTCCGCATACCAAATTGTGCGGCCGCATAAGCTGGTCGCACTAACAAAGCCCGATAAGTTCTGAGAAGGTGCAGAAGACCAAGTGTGAAGTCTCTTGAAAGTGTAGGAGCAGAGATAGTTGTGCGGCCGTAAAAACTGAAGTGCAGCCGCAGAGATTATTGTGCGACCGCAGATTTCCTCCTAATTCAAGAGCAGAAGAAAAGTGTAGTCCACACAGGGAATTGTGCGGCCGTACAACCTCCCGAATGCATTTTGTCAGAAAAATTTTGGACATTATAAAACAATATTTAAGGGAAACTTTGGTACTGTAGCAGCCAGCGGTTATATTTAACTGAGCAACAATTAGAGAAGACTCATTAATTTTACACTTTATTCTAGTCTAATGTCTTCAATTACTTCTTCTCTTTATTTTTTGATGTCAATTAGTATGAGTAGCTAGATTTTATCGAGGGTTGTGACTCAACTCTAGTGTATAAAACTTATGGTTGTTAATACTAATACTTGATTATGATTGTGTATTTGTTATTTAGCCTTGTTTATGCATTATATCTAGAATTAATGGTTGATAATATTTATTCATGCCTATTTGACTTAGTTCTTACTTGAGAAGGAGGAATCTAGTATATGAAAACTTGGCTAAAAAGAAATTGAGCTAGTTAAGGTTTTGACTAGTTTGATTAAAGATTTGAACTAGGTATAGGGATAATCCAACTTGGACTCATATCAATTTCTTAGATTGCCCCATTTGGTCTTGAGAAAACCAATTTGTGCATTACCACTTTATGACCAAGAGGTATTGAGTGGGTACTTGTGAATTGACAGTCATAATACACCATGATCTACCAAACAAGCATTAACTTAGTATACCCATTAGGTTTATACCTATATGAAGGTTACATCCCTAGGCTATTCCTCAACTGATAAGAAAACCAAAAACAGTTTATTCTCTAGATCTTTTTACTTAGTCTAATTTCTTAGTGTTAAATTAGATCACAACCAACCTTTTGTTTGGAGGTCTAATTTAGCTATTTCATGTTCTCTCTTCAAGTATCTACTTTAATACCGATTGTAAACTCCCTGATGAATTCAACCCCGACTCAACTTGGGTGTTATAATTGCAAGACCGTTTCTCACTTATTATTGAACGTGGATTGGACGTGATCAGTGAAGAATTTGATATTTGATGATTGATACATTCTATGACACTTGAATGTAATAATTGGATGATTTATTTTGTTTATCTTTAGCATCTTGCTACATTTAGTAGTAATCTAAAATTTTGTTTGTTTTGGTAGTGTAAATATTATGTTTTTCCCTCTTTTACTGATAATAAACGTTTTTTATTTTCATAATGCCATGGTTCTTTCCAAAGGTAATTTCCTGTGTGAACCGGGTAACTCTCCCCGAGGAAAGATAGTGTGACAAATTTCTTAAGGGAATAAGTCCGTTTTATGTTTAGGTAATAGTAGTAGTAAGTAGTAATGATACAATCCTTAAGCACATTAGTCCGTGCAAACAAGTTATTTATGATTCATCTGGTACCAACATACTTAACTGCATGCTTATGGTTCGAGACAAGATTGTTGTGAATCAATTTTTTTGAAAGAATCAACTCTAATAAAAATGACTTTGAGGCTCTTGAATTGTCTTTGATAATCATTAGGTAGTTGTGTGGACCATAGAGATCTTTACCTTGATTGTGGTTGTTGTAGGTTTTAGACTCTATCCTCTTTTACGGTCTATTTGCACGAGAGGTGAGATAAAATTTTGTTGCTAGTCCAAGTGCTTGATTGAATAGTCTAGAACTTGCCATAAAGGTGCTTTAAGACAAAATTTTAAGTTTACTTGGTTTGAAAGATGATTGTAGGCTTTCCTTGGACCGTTAGAGCTTTCAATTGCCACCCTATGATCATTATCCCTACTCAACCCCTCTTGAGCCTTTAGCCTTTCTCTGTTGATAATTATGTCACAAGCATTTACTAGTTTTGAACAAGATCTCCTCTTAGCACCTGAACTCTCTAAAGCACTCATATGTAGTAAGTGGTTCAAAGCCTATGTTTGGAGAAAAAGTTAAGAAATCTAAAAGAGGTACCAAGGAATTAAAAAAAAAAAGAAATTACTTCCATGAAAGAGAAAGTAAGAAAAAAAAGTATTATGAACGAAAAGAAGGCCAAAGAGGGACAAAAGGGGAGGTTATGAAATTAAGTAAAGCAAGTACCTCTAGTACCAAAATTAAGGGAGAAGGAGAATGAAATTGTCAACAAAAAACGATGATAAGTCTCTCTAGCCTCCGAGAAAAAGAAATATATCTAAGGGTTTGACAAATGTGAGCCATGAAATGAGATGTGATGTGCTTAAGGAACAGTGTCACCACTTGTATCCCATATAGTATTCTATCCCGGACCAAAAGCCTTCATTACAACCCAAAAGAAGTCTTACTTGAGTTTGAAATGAGTATGCTTACATTAGTGGAGATTTACATGAGGGGAAAGCCTATGGTACTTGAAGCTTAACTTGTTTCATTCATTAGTGAGAGAAGATTGAAACCTTTGTTGCTCTAGATGTTTACCGTAAAAATGGTAATTACAATTAAATTTGATTATGGGACTCTAAAAATACATGATCAATTTTTATGCCGGTTGTTAAGCAGTTGATGCTATGTATGTGAGACTTAGAAGCGAACTAAGAGTTAAGGATGAAATGATAATCAAACCGATAGGTAGACAATCGGGGGCCTCGAGCTCGTCGATCCGGGGCCTCGAGGTCGATTCTGGGGCTCGCGGTCAATTCCGGGGCTCGACTGTGAGCTATCGAGGGTAATCGAAGTATGACTAATAGTTATGATAAAATCAAAGAAGGCTCTTTATGGCTGATGATAAGCAATAAATGATGAACAATAATGAAGATAATAAATGGGAGCAATAATATCAAGAGAATATGTAAGAGAGCAAAGAGAATGTTCTTTTATATTTCTTATGGAGCAGCTGAAGCAACAGATCCCTTACAAATGACATGGACTCCCTTTATATAGGAGGAAAATCCCCACAGAGTACAAAATACATTAATTACATAGATATGGGGATGGGACGGCTGAATGACGCCCTGATTTGGGTTCAGAGTAGCCCGCTCGCTGTGTCAGCCCTAGCCGCATGCCTTGGGAACTCCCCATTTTCACCATTACCGTGATCATTACTACCCTGGGGTCGAGTGTTGACGACCCTCGAGGAAAGATACTCGGCCACGGCCTCGAGCCTTCGAGGTGATCTTCCGGAGTGTCTTAATGACGAGAAATTACAACCTCTGATTTTATCGTATACAGATAGTCCCCGCGTTTCCTAGAACGAATCGATAGGAAACGATTTTGAGCTTCTATTCCGATGGCATCATTACCGTGACATCAGCATATCAGAGCATTAAATGCCATGCCCAAAAAAACCGCGCAAAGGTCACCGTCAAACGCGACTATCGAGAAGCCTACAAACCGCTATTAGTTCGTCCCTTCTGTTGCCCATTCGGTTCCTATAAATGCATCAATGGTTTGATAATTC